CCAAGGGATCCCTGAGCTTTCGGCACTCCGGTTCACTCACAGGGGGGACACGAAGTGGGAGGACAGCCAGGACTTGGGTTTGGCACCAACTGGGGTGTGTGCGGGAGCAGCGGGGGTTCAGCATGATCCCCGAAGGACAGGTCCCAACGTGACAACCCCCCAGTAATCTGAGTGGTTTCTCACTCCACAGGGACCCGAGTCCTCAAGTCCCAGGGCACCCCACTTTTGGGCGCGGATCAAGAACAGACTTGTCCACATCCCTTATTTGGCCACGTTAACACACAGTAGGTGTGCAAGCGAAGGAATGGTGCATATCGAATCCCACGACTATGCACTTCCTTCGGGTATGAGAAATTAAATAAGGGGGGGGGACTAAAAAAGAAAGACAAAGTGAGACGCGGCGCTACTTAACTATTTTTCCAGAATGATCTCCCTACTCACCAAGGCAGGGGGTGGGGTGGGGGTTGGCTAGTCAACTTGGGGGTACTTAGACATGTTTTGATTTTTTCCAGGGACCCTTCTCTTGGGACGACTGTCCGAAGTCTCCGAAGTCTCATGGCCTCGTGTTCCCCTCCAGGTGAATCCCCTTGAGGGGCTGGAATGCTGTGGAATAAATCCACTTTACACACAGCTAACGATTGTTAAGCTCATTTTTGTGGCCCTACGCTTCTACAGGACACCTCGCCTCTGCCCACGCGAGGGTCAAGCCTTGTGGCCACATTAGAACGTGGAACAGGCCTAACTTTGGGATGCACAGTTCCCCGCAGGCGCCGCTCCTCCGCACGGGATGGGGGTGGGGGGAGATCTAGTTGAAGGTCTGCTTAGCTGCGAGTTGCAGGGTGGAGAGTGGTTGGGAAAGGGCGGGGCGGGGCGGGGCGGGGCGGGGCGGGGCAGAGAGCGAGACCCAGAGGCGGAGGATTCCCGCTCGCTAGGATCGGTGAAACTGGAGCCTAGACCCACAACACAACCTTCCTTCCACCAACGTGAAGGCAATGGTCTACTAATGAAGTGGGCCAAGGGGCGCCCAAGGCAAAGGTTGCCAAATTCCTTGTAGTAGTCGCGCACCTAGGGAAAGACAACACTAGCGATTAGTATGTTCATACACTGTAGAGGAGAGGAATATTTACAACTGAGCGCTCAGATGTGCATCTGAGACCCAATGTATCCACCAAGTATGCTCAGCTAGTGGCTCTCCACCGAATTCAGAAACTCGCTTTAAAAACGACGCTCATCCCTGAATTAATTTTACATGCCAGAGGTCTTAAGGAGAAATAATTACTACTTTCAAACGGACGTGCGGTTGATCTTAGATGAATAATCTATGCAAAAGTTAAAGGCCTTTTAGCAATGATCTTTTTAAAATATTTTTTATTGTAAAGCTACTGTACAGAGGGGTAACAGTTACATGAGTAAGGGAATGACTACATTTCCTATGAGCATTGTTATCCCCTCCTTTGTTTTTCCCCTACCATCCTTTCCTTCCCCACCTTTCCAAATGATCTTACGGTCTTTTCTTCCTTGAGTATAAAATAGCTTTTGCTTTATTCATCTGAATCCAATAAGAGCTTTCTTACTAACCTAAAAAAAAAACAACTACATTCATCCTTCTACCCAAAGAGCGACTCCAAACTGTAGAATACACTTGTACCACCCACAGATTTTACAGCACCCTGAGAACCCTGTCACCACACATCCCATAACTAATGGTAATTTCTGTAAAGAGTTCCAAGTACGTTATTGTTTACAGCCTATACACACTCAGCCTATGGGATTCAGATCCCTTCCACACTTGAAAGGGTGTTTGTTTCCATTGGAAGTTGAGGAGCATATTGAAAACTGACAGAGTGGGTGAGGGTGTAATGCCTACTGAAGGCTCCGAGAACTAGAAGGTCTCTTCTACCTATTGGAGTGATCATCTTTCTGGTTTTTTTCTTAAAAAAAAAAAAAAGAACACAAAGCATGGTACAATAGGCTCCCTCTGATTACCTAATCAAGTCCTTCAATCTGTAGCCTAGATGCACTCTTAACTATACCACAGGAAGTCGAAGGCATGCTTTCAAGGAAGAAATTGGAATGAGTTTAGAATTGCAAGCCTGTTCTCTGCTGGAAAACGAAGCACTTCTGGACATGTCCAGGATAAGGAGTTCTTGCTTCCTGCAATGTAGACACAACCAGATTCCACTGACACACCCAGCTACTACTCCTAGTGAGACAACTTCACTGATCCTACCGACAGGCCTCAGCACACCCCACTACTACCCCATTACCCCGATACCACCAAGAGACACCTACATACATCTTACCCCATACCTACCCAGAAAAGATTCGTACTTCTTGTAAGATGTCGGGTTCTAATTGTGCCGAGGATACAGTAAATCTGCCCCCCCCAGTAGTTACTGGGAAAATAATAATAGCATTCGACAACCACTGCTCTTATCAGTAGCTTTAAAGGGACGATTGCCAGCAGTGTGCTTTGTATACATGAGGCTACTGTGGCACCCGGTTTCTGCCAAGGCCCAATGCAAGAGGAAGACACATAGGGAAATCCTATTTTCCCAGAGTCGTGCTAGAGTCGACATCTCCTGAGTTTCACAATAACCTGGCCTCAAAGCATGGGCGCCACTTCTACCCAGAGACCTAGGAGACTGCCCCTCCTCCTCGAAAATTGGGGCGGAAAAAGAAGCAAGTTGTGGTGCATCAGAAGGGGCTATTCTGGGTGAAGTTTCCAACGGAAACCAACAAACGGCGCTATTGTCGCGCCCTGGGTCTTGGGAGCCCCAGGCCCAGCCCCACTAAAAGGGAGCCTTGGCTCTCTTGGGAGTTTAGGGGAACAGGGAGGACCGGCTTGGCTCGGTTCCTAGGCTCGGATCCAGGCCTCTGTGCCCCGCCCACAGGAGGACTCCGGGAGACCCCTGAAGACCTGAGTGCAGTGGAGCACCCTGCGCTCTCTTCTTGGAAGACATTGACAAAGAAATGATCCTGGGTCCCACCGTAGAATGCTTTCCTTGATGGGTCTGAGAGGTTGCAGTTCATGCCCCACCAGCGTCAGACTTCCCTAAAGCCTCCACCTCCCCAATCGAGACCACTCAAAGCTATGGAAGGTGCCACGATCTATCTCTCCCAACCCTGGCCTAGTGCCTGAGTCTTCACTTCTGGTGGCCCAAGAAAACTGGTTTCCTCCCAGTGTCCCCTTCCTGCCCCCTCCCCCACCATACACACTCCTTAAAGGGTAACTTCGTTTGCCTACTGAAATGGTAGTTGGGGGTCAGAAACTTGGACACTTTCTAGGTAAATCCTGGCGTTGCACTTACTTCGGGCTGTGCAGACCATCCCAGAGCCACGAAGCACAGAGACTCGGGGGAGATCGGTTTAATCCGAGCCTGCGAAGAATGCTATGGGGATAAGAAAAGGTGCCTGATCCTGACAAAACGCCCTCCTTAAACATTTGACAAGAGAATGCAATGTGCAGATGAACTCAGGTGAGCCAGGGTTAGGTGTGATCAAATGGCAAGCAGCTGGGAGCTGTTTTCCCCATCATCTGCATCGTGGGGTTGTGCAATTCGGCCCCGCATCCACTGCCTCGGGAAACATGTAGCCCAGGAGCTGTCACCACAACGGCTTACTTGGGTCCTAAAACTTGGAAAGAATCCTAACATCTGTCAGGCTACTGGACTTCAAGCCGCGCGACGGTTGGGTAGTTTCCTAAAATGCTCTTCACTTAGCAACAGCCTCGGGGTGTGGGGGGGGGAGGGAAGAAAACCCGTCCGAGGGCCTGTAGGGAAAGCAGCAGGAGGGCAAGCACCACTGCACTTTGGCTTCTTTACGGATAGGGGGTTCATCTAAGAAAACCGGACTTTGTCGGCCAGCTTTCCAAGAAAACGGCCGCTGGTAGAGACCGTCGGCTCATCCTGATTCCTGAGATCTGCCTTCCAGCCGGTGTTAGCGGTATTGTGCACACCCGGGCGTGCGCATGCACTCACACATACGTCCACACACACACGTACGCCCATGCACAGACCCTTTCCAGACACTTTTATTTAAAATCCCTAAGTACCTCCATGCATCCATGAATTGTCACCCTTGTCCAGGAAGACTTCGATCAGGTGGAAACACAAATTAAGTGGAAGGTTACACGATTCGGAACTTCCCCAATGTGATAGGGCCTCAGGATCTAGGATTGTCGCACTACCCCGTGCGTATGACCTACGGGGGGGGGGGTGCTGGGCCACTCTGTACCCCACAAGCAACAAGCCATGCTCCTTACTTTTTCATCCGCGAGGGACAAGAGCGAAGCGCCTGGCATGCAGGCATTGCGAGATCGCCTAAGGTTGCATTAGTGCTGGGAATTTGTCCCACACTTCAGAGTGAAGATTTGCTTTTGGTTCCTCACCTTTCCACGAGACAACGTGGGAGGAGGAGAGCCTAGACCCCATAGTCCGTGGACCCCTTCCCATTTTAGCTTCATGAGCGCGGAGAGTGTCTCCTTCTCACTTGCCGCCTTAGGAGCGGCTCGGAGAGTTGCAAACGCATTCCTAACTCACTTTCGCTAGCGGCGGCGATTGTCGGGGTTCCTCCCCCCCAACCCCCGCGCGCACCAAAGCCTAGGGTCCCGAGCCGCCGATCTTGAGCAGACAACTCCACAAGCGATGGGAGGTCTCACTCCGGAGTCTATTCAAGAACGCTGTAAAACAAGAAAGGAAAGGCAGGGGATCCGTTAGCACAGCCAGGGCCGGGCGGGAGGCGGTGCGGCTGCGCGCGGAAAAGCCGCGCTCCGCGGTGCCGGCAGGTGCGGGCGCCGGCGGAGGGGGCCGCACGCTCCACGCGGAGCATGACCCGCGCTCCGATCGCGCCACCTCCACCCTCCCACCCCACCTCCGCCTTCGGAAGAAAAAAAAACACAACTTTTCTTTGCCTGGGAGAGGCTCCGGGTTGCCATGCAAACGGATTTTCCAAGGGGCCCGACCCCCCCCCCCCGGGGGCATCGGACTGGAAAAAGCGAAATGGCCCGAGAGCACAGACAAAAAGGGGCCGCGAAGCTGGGGCTGGGGAGGAGAGGGGTGGGAGCTGGCTCACACCCTCCCCCCCCATACACACACCCTGTGCACAGCCCCGCATGCACACGCTCAGTCGGTGGGCTGCGGAGTGCTGACGCCTTAGGCAGCGTCCCCGCCCCGGGCGTGCTGCCGGGCTGAAGACCGGCTTCCTTGGCCCAGCTCCGTCCCGCACGCACGCGCACGCCAATTCCCAGCGGACACTTTGGAGGCATCTGCGGGGTGCCTTAGGTTCCCCGCCTCCCCCCTCCCCAGGAAGACCAGCCGGCTGCTCGCCGTGCCGCGCGTTCCTGGCGTTGGCAACACACGCAGTTGGAAGTCCTCTAAGCAGACAACGGGCAGCTTTACGAGCCTGGGATGGGGCGCTGGACGGCCTTGACCGGGTTGCAAAGTTGTGTTCAGAACCCCGCGGGCGCCCCTCTGCCCCTCCCCCTCCAAGCCTCCTCTCGCGTTCCACACCCCCCCCCCGCCGCCATCACCTCCTCGGGTTTCGCTCTTTCAAACTTTTTGAGCCCCTAATTGGTGGTCTCAGAGCGGATCCCCGGGACTCCCGCCTTCTGAAGAACTCTCATCACGTCACTCGGCTCCAGCGGGACAGAGGAGGGGGGGTGAACGAAAGGGCTCCCCGAACTTTTTTTTTCCCTGCTGGGCCAAACCGGGGGCTTGCTGATGATTGGCCAGCGCTCATCCCAGCAAGCCTGTCAATCAAGGAGTCTACGGGTGGCGAGGGGCGGACCCAACCCCAACCCCCGGGGATCCGCGCAGGTATATAAAGGGGCCCGGCCAGCCACCGGCCAGGCTGCAAACGCGACCGGCTGGAAAGTAGGCAGCAGCAGGTGCGAGTTGCCCGCAGGTTCCAGCCCACTCGGCGCCGAGCGCTTCTTGGGCGAGTCTGCCCTTCCCGCCCCATCGCCTGGCCTCCCGGCCCCCCCAGCGCCCCTCCGACGGAGTGTCCGGGCCTTTTCACCGTGGCCGCTCCACCCCCGGGAGCGCCTTCTCCTCCCGCCACCCTGGCGCACCTTCTTCCCTCCCCGGCCATGTACAGCCTTTTGGAGACTGAGCTCAAGAACCCCGTGGGGCCGCCCACCCCAGCCGCGGGCACGGGCGGCGCCGCAGTTCCCGGCGGTGCAGGCAAGAGTAGCGCGAATCCAGGCAGCGGTGCGAACGCAAGCGGTGGCAGCAGCGGTGCTGCGAACGGCGGCGGCGGCGGGGGCACGGATCAGGATCGCGTGAAGCGGCCCATGAACGCTTTCATGGTCTGGTCCCGCGGGCAGCGGCGCAAGATGGCCCTGGAGAACCCCAAGATGCACAACTCGGAGATCAGCAAGCGCTTGGGGGCCGATTGGAAACTGCTGACCGACGCCGAGAAGCGACCGTTCATAGACGAAGCCAAGCGGCTGCGCGCCGTGCACATGAAGGAGTACCCGGACTACAAGTACCGGCCGCGCCGCAAGA